GATCTCACAGTCCCGATGCGAAATACGTTGGCTTCAACAACGTTCAAATTCATCTTTACTGACGTCATCCAGGTAGATGGTTCGTTATCCATCATTATGATTATCACTCAAATCTTTTGCTTTTATGGGATGTATAACTGCTGGAGGCTTAAGATAAGTGAACCTATCCACCAGTAGTATACAAAGCTCAGAAACATCTAAGTGACCTCAATATCTTGGAATATGTTTGGAACCGACTGGGATTTCATGATTTCAGAAGGTTTTGAATATAAATCGGTTTTGGTAGGGTTTTATTGTGGCAACGTTTTGCTCTTGACACAAGAGCTTCTTCAGGCCAGGTGAATTGGTACAAACTTGGCTTAGCTTTTTATGGGAAAGTTGCAAGACATAACATGAATCATTGGATAATAGTGGTACAGGTCAATAGGTCAAGTGGCCATGCTAGTGAAATAACAAGCAACGAGCGTTTCTCATTGATCCACGTCATCGGTCGTTCACATATGAAGCATTCCTTTCTGGCAGCAGCTGATTCACGCTCCGATCTGAGTTCGTCCGCCGACACCTTTTCTGACTGACCGGGTTAACGCAGCCCGCCACGCGTTCGATAACTCCAACCCGTCTGTTCTGTTCACACAGTTATTAGTCTTAGTAATCTCGGTCGCCTCAGCAATCAACCTTTGGTTTGTTGCTGGTAATCCCCTCCTAAGTATCTCGACATTGTCCCAATCAATCGCGTGTCCTGCCTCTAGCGCATTCACGGCCACCGCTGAATGTTTTAGTAGGGCCCTGTTTTCAGGCTCATTTCTCGGTGGACGCGAAACGTACCTCTTGTGTTCTGCTATCCTCGTGCGTAGCTCTCTCGCTGTTTGACCTATATACACGTGTTCACAGTCTTTGCAATTAGTTTTATAAACACAATTTGTCGTCCTGTCTCTTGGGAGATTGATTGGGACAGTGTCGAGATACTTAGGAGGGGATTACCAGCAACAAACCAAAGGTTGATTGCTGAGGCGACCGAGATTACTAAGACTAATAACTGTGTGAACAGAACAGACGGGGTGGTTATCGAACGCGTGGCGGGCTGCTTTAACCCGGTCAGTCAGAAAAGGTGTCGGCGGACGAACTCAGGTCGGAGCGTGAATCAGCTGCTGCCAGAAAGGAATGCCTCACATGTGAACGACCGGTGACGTGGATCAATGAGAAACGCTCGTTGCTTGTTATTTCACTAGCATGGCCACTTGACCTATTGACCTGTACCACTATTATCCAATGATTCATGTTATGTCTTGCAACTTTCCCATAAAAAGCTAAGCCAAGTTTGTACCACTTCACCTGGCCTGAAGATTCTCTTGTGTAAAGAGCGAAACGTTGCCACAATAAAACCCTACCAAAACCGATTTATATTCAAAACCTTCTGAAATCTACGTGACCTATTTGTGCACTGGAATATTTGTTGACGAAATGCTAACTTTATTGTTGTTTGTTTACACTATCAAAAAACTTTAAATGTAATATGCAGTGACTTAACGTGAAGCATTTGCGAGTTGATCTAAGCGGTGTGCTCTGACCTTGGTAAGTACATGTAAGTGCTGTTAACTACAGGGACGCATTTAAGCAAGAAGACTGGCTTGAACTTTGCCATATAAGTTGATATGTTACTACACAGTAACTGTTTCTTTGCTTATAATGTGGGGTGTTGGACACGAACAAACTAGCCTACATTAACTTCTAATTTATTACCTTAGGTAAGAGAACACATGTACTAGAAGCGATTCAGATTAGGCTTTTTATCCACTATGACCGCCATAGAGAGTACTGAATTGCGAACATCCGGTTATGTGTTCCAAGCAACCGGTAGACTAACGAGATAACATGTACTCATGAGTAGTGGATTTTTGAAAATAGCAATTGAGATTTCGTCGTACCGGTTTCCAAGTCAGCTAGTCTTCCAGGAGTTCGGAAATGCGCCAGACGGCCGGTCTGTCATGTTAGAACTTGTCTTCAGTGCGCATCCATCGAAACCATTAGGATTCAAACCCATGACCACTGGCGGCTTGCAATACTACCCAGCAAATTATGACACTGGGCCACGGGGACACAGTCGAGCCGTCATGATTTACAAGCTGACTGCGATATGGCGCGTCTTATCCTCCAGGCCATGCAAGTTACGACGGTCGCAGAGGACAGGGTTGACCCCGAAAGGCACGACGTCCACTAACAGTACCTGTGTGCGACATAGCATTTCGACACAGTTATGGTGGATATTTTGATATACTCAAAAATATGGCGTTTTGATATAATTGCGGGTTGCTTGTAGCCACTTCAAATCAGATATTCGTCCATATTCCCGGAAAAAAGCTACACTGCAGTTTAAGTGTGTTGGGCATCATCAGTATTGCGCGCCCGTCGGATCCATCAGATTCGAATGCATGATCCCCGGCGGTTTGCACCGCCAGCCGGAAAATTATACCACTGGGCCACGGGGAGAGATCAGTAGACCATTATGGTTTATATGTGTCATTCTGTCGTTCCCACAGATGTCTTTTTGTTGTTAGTGTGCACAAGTTTGATACTTGTATACACATCCAAGGAGGATCCTCGCCGAAGAGCAGACTAGCAACGTACTAAGTTACCAGCGGTGAACCAAGATGGAATGATGACCTATGCATCGGCTTCTCATTTGTGTGTTGGACTGCATGTTCATAAGTTTATCTCATCTGAAATGATGCAGTAAATATAATTTTCTTTAGTCAGTTGTCCTCAGGTTTAATCTCTCAACACTAAATGAGGTTTGAAACGGAACTCGGAGAGCAGTCATTTCTGGCCGCGAGGCCCGGATGATTCTTCTATCCTTAAAAATATCTCACACTGATGTCTGTCCTAATGTACCTCAGTCGCATCCAAATGCATTGATGACTGAGTAGTCTGTAGATCAGAGCCAGAAAACGGGAACGAGACCATCCTGCACTTCGGTTTAACTGACAATTTTTGGACACTGCAGCATTGTTTCCTTTTAATTGACCAGTTAGTAAAAATTAGCCAAGATAACAGAAAACACCTTATCACGACACTACTTAACCACTATGTAACCCCTAATACTTGTATTACTTATGCAGGAGCAGAAACTCATATCGCTAATAATCTAACCCACTGCGTGATCAGTTTTTCGCATAGTCCAGAAAAACACTTTTATCTATTGGGTGTATTTATTTGTTTGAGATTACGATACCTCTGGAACTGAACAATGAACAATGACCAATGATTTATCACGAGATAAAAGCAAGTGCTTGACACTTCCCGTAGGATGGTTGGGGTGAATATGATGAAACCAGAAGATATCTGAGTCATCTATCGAACGTCTACCGAGATGAATACTTCGATAAATTACATCGGTGTGAAATTTAAAATAAAACCGAGCGTAAAAGTTCAGAAAGACACTGGGGTGCAGTGATCCTTGATATAAGGCGCCAGGAAAGTAAAATATAGTCGCTCATTTGGGTCCAGTTGATACATAAATCCTGTTGAAACGTGTGCTTGGTGTAATCCACAATAGAGGAGTTTAGGTAACAAGATGCTGGGAGCTAAGAGCAACATCTAATCGTTTTTTGAAAGCGTCCAAGGTAGGAGAGGATACAACTGAGTCTGGGAGTGCTTTCCAAGGTTGGCAAATCCGAAGGGAAAAGTAGTTCTGTCGACAATCTAGAGAGCTATATTGTTCCTTCAATTTTAAGCAGTTACCCCTGAGCTGCGTGTAGTGGCTAAGTTTCAGCAAATGGCGACATAAGTGGTTGGGTTCACTCAGTATCTGATGAGCTAATATGTGATCCTCGTGCAGCCTTCGATAGCGTCCGCTGAAAATTCCCAGCAACTTCAGACTTCGGTGGTAAGAGTGATAGCGCAAGCACTTTACCTTCTTTGTTGCTATTTGCTGTGGAGCCTCTAACTCCTCTAGGTCGCGATGCAACCAAGTTTGACAAGCTTGGATATTGTATTCAACGTGCGGGCGCATGTAAGCATTTTGCATCATTGGGAAGATTGACGGGGCAAATCTCCCGAATCTGCTTCGCAGTATGTCGACGTCCTGGTTTTTTCGCAGCTACCTCAGCCTGTTTCGAACCGTTGAGGTCGTTCTGTACGACCACACCAAGGTCAGATTTCTGGTAGCTGGTCTGCATTCCGTTTGTCTCAAGTAAATAGGTGTAGTTATGTCTATGGCGTAATTGTACAACGCGACATTTGTCTACTTTGAATGGTAGGGCGTTTTGAACTGACCAGTTCGACACTGTGTTAACATCGCACTGGAGTCGTTCATGGTCTTCCGGTCCTCTGATCCTTCGCCATATCTTGATAACATCAGCGAAAAATAGGAAATCGGAAGTAATTGACCTCGCCAAAGCGTTAATGAACACCAAGAATAGACGAGGTCCAAGCACCGAGCCTTGTGGTACTCCACACGCCAGATCGATTGCATCAGACAACGATTCTCGGACTCTCACCACTAGAGGGATTCCAACTACCTCCCCACCAATGAATGTTAAGCAATGTGTATGGTCTAGGTTACTAGGTAATACGACGCAAATACTCAGATATGTCATTTTTGCTTTGGCCCTCCCTCCAATGCGATAAAATCCGAATCGACGACATTGGGCCGACCGATCCTCTAGTGACCAAGCATGCCACTAACCACCAATCGCCTTTGTCGTCATCAGGCTACATTTAAATGTTATTCAGTTTTTTCACATATATATTACCTTGGTCAGTACCCCAGTAACTTGTGAATTCATTGCTGAAATAATTCAGGTTATCGTCAAAGATTTTTGCCTGTCCTGCCTATTGCGACCTTATTGAGTTCTTCTGTGATCGCATCTATGTGAGAAAGTTTACTCAGTGCCTGTTATTTGAGTTGCGCCCATTATTTTACTCATTCTTTTATGCTTTTTCTTGCCAAAGGTTACTCTCACGTTGTTGCAAGCAGCCGGAACAACTCACGTGCAACCATCATGTCTTCCGTCAAAGTAGCAGTTCGTGTCCGTCCTTTTAACAAACGCGAGATAGCCGCCTCAAGCCGGTGCATCATCTCAATGGATGACCAGAAAACAAGTAATTTTGGAATGTTTTATGAAGCGTCTTATTAGCCGATCACACAATGCACCTTGTACCAATGGCGTATAGCCAAAATATTTAGGGAATATTTGTCTGTAAACAAGTTTGTTGAAACTGTGAACTACCACAGGAATGGTGAGAATACTACATTTTGCTAGCACATAATAATCTGAAGGGCACTTTCCATTTCACTTTATGTTGATTAAAAACGAACTCTGAAACGTACTACTTGAGGACCCAACGGCATTTGTTTTGAGTGTCACACAATGTCTTACCAGATATACCTAGTTGAAAGATTTCTTAAGCTGATAGCTGCGAGTCATTTACGTCGGGGAATGGCCAACGGTAAGGAGAGAGGTGTAATGTTTAGCGCTAAGCTTTGTGTGGTAAGCGGTTCGTGGTTACTGAGATCAAGTTACGGAAAGTGAGTGAGGTGGGGGCACACATCATGATCTTCTGAATTTCGTGGACACAAAAGAAAAAGTATTGAAATCTGCCCTTACAGGTTGAGCGTAAACGTTGCATATCCATCATGTAAAAATAACAAATACCATTTTCGTGCACCTTACAGTTGATAAGGATTTAGCGGACCCTTTTATCTTACAACTTTCGAGGTGTTACACTAGGCAGAGTACGAAAGAAATAAATGCGCGCATTAAATGAATTCTTCAATTCAGTCAATTAGAATGTTTCGTTTGTCCTGTATGTAACAAGGTGCAGATGAGTGACCGACGATGTTGGTCTTTCCTATGGCCAGATAGACACATTGATTCTGACAATAGTAATGACCTCGACTGTTGTTAACAATAGCAACAGTTTCCAGCCTAAGAGAACCTATGTTTACCCTGACAAAATCTGATCTCAGTTGACTACCTAGATCACATTATCGACACACTCTATGCCACTACAAGATCAGTCGAATATTCGTAACGAGCAGCCAGTCGCTTCCAAAACCGACTTCGTTCGACACAAGAATTCGTCTAGTGGGTTAGTTTGTGGTGAAATGAAGGTAGATACTACTGATACGGATATAAGTAGTGTGGTGCAAGCTGACACACCAACAGCGAGCCTTGCCGACTTCCCCAAAGTTGAAGATGACCTCAAGATTCCAGTTCCATGTGCACGAGGAGTAAACACAGAGACGAGCACCAGTTGGGAAACACTCTATGGAAATCACGCGGATGAGCGGATGCCTCCAAAGTAACTGTATGGGAATCACGCAGATGAGCGGACGCATCCAATGTATGAACGAGCACACCTAGTATAAGCAACTTTAGTAATAAACCACTACCGCCTGCCACGGGTTCTTACATTTGGTGCCGTGACCTCAAAACCCATGAAGATCCCCTGGCCGGAGCCATTTGAAGACGGGGATGTGAAGGTGTTTTTGGAGGATTTCGAGGAGGTGGCAGATGCGGTAGGACTGAAGACGGACCGGGCGAAGATGGCGGCCCTGCGGAGTCTCCTCAAGGGCAGGGCGAAGGCGGTTCTGGAGGCGGCGCGAAGAGGTCCGGTCAAGTTGGAGTGGACCGCCGCGAAGGAAGCGTTACTCTCTGGCCTGGACACGCCAGCGGACCGCCAGGAGGCGATGCGACGGTTCAAGGCGTCGCGACTTGGTGCGGGGACGGATCCCCTCGTGTTTGCAGTGCACCTCAGGAGCTTGTTGGACCGCGCCTTGCCGGGGTTGGATGGGCCGTCAAGGACGCAGTTGCTGGTGGATCAGTTTTTGGCCGGCCTCCCCCAGCCAACCGCGGAGCGCGTTCGGATTGCAAATGCCACTCGGAAGATGCAATTGGAGGAGCTGGCGCAAGTTACTCGAGACCTAGGCGACGCACCACTAGCTGCGCTGAAGGAAGAGCCACGTGAAAATGTGGAACGGATGGAAAAATTGGAACGGATGATGGAGCAGCTTACGGAAGACATCAATGGGCTTCGCGTTCAGCGTTATCGGGTGTGCACAAAGGGATGTTGCTTCATCTGCGGTAAACCGGGGCACTGGAAGAGACAATGTCCGCAGAGTCGTGGTGTTATTCGGGAGTCGAATAAGCGTGTGCAACCTTATTTTTCTTTGCGAATCAAAGATTGTGTACTTGGGGCGTTGAGCAGGAGTGCGGTTGAAGCAATGGTGGAAGTAGACGGAACGATGGAAAGGTGTCTGATCGATACGGGTGCCGCGGTGTCACTAATCAACCATCGACAAGGTGAAAAGCTGCAGTCGTGCTGCACGATCGTAAGAGCGGTTGGCGGTCATTCAGTGGGAATTGATGGTATAGCCGAACACACCGTAGGAATCGGGGGACGAAAGCGAACACACTCCTTTCTCGTTTCACCAGATGCGAAACAAACCATATTGGGAGCAGATTTCCTGGAGCTCAATAAAGCTGTCATTGATCTAAAGCGTGGGAAGTTGCTAATGGAATGCGGGTCACTACCACTTATTAATCGTGGAGAAATGCGATCTTCGCAGTCGGTCGTCGCTGTGTTACATTTGAGCCCATCATTGCAGTCGCTGATTAACAAATACCAACCCTTGTTTACGGATGACAGCAGTCAATATGGGTTTTGCGATTGGATCGAGCATACCATCCCGCTAACTCGCCAACCGTATCGGCCCCATGGACCTCGAAGGATACCAATCCACCTGGAGGCTGAAGTGAATAGGCAAGTGCAAGAAATGCTGGACGCGGGCGTGATTGAGGAGGCACATAGCCCGTACAACTCTCCTGTGGTCTTAGTGAAGAAGCCGAATGGGAAGTACCGATTCTGTGTCGACTTCCGAAGACTGAATGAAATTTTCTTGACTCGTTTCGTTCCAGTTCCATCAGTTGCTGATATTTTTGATCGGCTGCAGCAGTCGAGGATATTCACGGTCCTGGACTTGAGATCAGGATACTGGCAACTGGCAATAAAACAGGAAGATCGAGAGAAGACGGCGTTTACCGTTGGTGAGAAACAGTATCAGTTTAAGAGGATGCCCTTTGGATTATCAGGAGCCCCGTTTACCTTCCGACGTCTCATGCTGCGATTGCTGAGTGAATTGGAAAACGTGGTGGTGTACGGGGATGATATCGTGGTGTATAGCCAATCAGAAGCGGAACATATCCATCATCTCGCGGCAGTTCTGGAACGCATTCAGCAGTCGGGACTTCGTATAAATGGACCAAAGTCCCAGATCGGAATGACCTGTGTCACCTTACTGGGTCATAAAGTGGGACAGGGCGAACTGAAACCGCTACCTGAGAAGATAATGACGATACAAGGCAGCCCACTTCCCACCTCAAAACGCACTCTCCGTACATTCCTGGGCCGCGCCGGGTACTACAGCAAATTCGTCAAGGATTTTAACACATTGGCCTCACCCTTGTACGAGCTGTTGAAACAAGATAGGAAATTCACGTGGAATGCAGAAGCTCAACGAGCCTTTGATCAGATTCTACAGGAAATGGGAAGGCAGGAGTTGACCCTGAAATTGCCCATCGCTGGTGAGATGTTCACGGTAGCCACTGACGCCAGCGATGTCGGGATCGGTGCGGTGTTGAAACAAAACCATGGGACGATCGAATATGCCGGCCGAACTTTGACGCCTGCGGAACGCAGATACTCAACCATAGAGAAAGAATGTCTCGCAATTGTCCGGGCGTTAGATAAATGGCGACCATATCTCCTGGGTCAGCGATTTCACGTCGAAACAGACCATAGACCGTTAGAGTGGATTAAGTCTGCCAAAGACCCCAGAGGAAAACTGGCGAGATGGGCATTGCGCTTACAAGAGTATGATTTCACGATAAAACACGTGCCGGGGAGGGAAAATCAGACGGCGGATTTTTTGTCACGCATGATAGATGAGGATGACTTGCCGAACGTAGCTTTCGGTATTAACGGTATACTGTGCGAGCAGGATCCAGAACGGTTGGCAACCGAGCAACGTAGCGACAAACTCCTACGCAAGTTGATCACCGTGCGATTAACTGGTCAGACAAACTTCAACAAAAACCAACTCAAGCAGCTGGGACCGTTTGCAAAAGACCTGGGAAAGCTGCAAGTGAACGAAGCAGGGATCTTAATGTGGATGCCAGGAGGTAGCAACCCTTCGGTGCCAGTCATTCCAATGAAACGAAGACGGAATCTAGTAGTTTCTTGTCACGAGATGGCGCACACAGGTTGTTCCAGGACCTATGATCTGCTGAAACAACGCGCGTATTGGCCGGGAATGAAAATGGACGTTGAGAAGTGCGTACTTTCATGCCGACAATGTCAGCTCATGAAAACGGATTGCCGAGGGATGCAGCAGCAAACGATGACGATCCCGGTCTCGGAAATTGGTGAACTTTGGTCGGTCGACGTGATGGGGCCGTTTCCATTGACCAGGCGTGGTAACCAGTACATTTTATTGATGACGGAGCACTTCACGCGATGGATTGAGGCGACAGGCATCCCGGATCAACGGGCTAGCATCGTTACCCATGCTGTCATGAATCACTTGGTAGCGGCTCACGGAATCCCAAAGGCCATCTTAACAGATCAAGGGCCGTGCTTCGAGAGTGAGGAATTCCGGAACTGTTTGGAGAAACTTGGCATCAAGAAATTGCGCACCACTCCATACCACCCACAAACAAATGGCCTGACGGAACGTAACAATAGAACAATCAAGGAGTGGCTAGCAGCAAAAGGTGGAGACTGGGAGGAAGCGCTGCCGCTACTGTTGCTGACCCATCGAGCAACCAAACAGGCGTCCACAAAGAAATCACCATTCCAGTTGATGTACGGTCGACAACCTCGTCTACCTGTGGACCTAGAGATTGGAATGTGGCCAACTTGCCGTATATCTCCCGAGGAGAGACGTAATAACCGAAAGACCGCCAACCGCAACCTACAGGCGACTCAGGCGCTGAGGATGGCGAAGTTCCAGACCAGCAAAGGTGGAAGGAATATCGAGTTTCAGATTGGTTCGAAAGTGAAGTACAGGGACCATCAACGCTATCCCACTTGCGGCCCAGGGGAGAGGAAACTCCTAGCGAAGTGGAAAGGACCGTACGAGGTAATCGACCGGCGAGGCCCAGTGTATACAATCGCTCGGCAAGGTGAATCGCGGAGGGTGAATGCCAGCGAGCTGAGGAAGTGGTACGAATTGGAGGAGGAAACACGCTCGTACAGTGAACATCCCCGGCGGTCAGAAAGACTCCGACGGAAGGCAGCTGACGCGAATCCTTTGGAGGGGGAGGAGTGTGGTGAAATGAAGGTAGATACTACTGATACGGATATAAGTAGTGTGGTGCAAGCTGACACACCAACAGCGAGCCTTGCCGACTTCCCCAAAGTTGAAGATGACCTCAGGATTCCAGTTCCATGTGCACGAGCAGTAAACACAGAGACGAGCACCAGTTGGGAAACACTCTATGGAAATCACGCGGATGAGCGGATGCCTCCAAAGTAACTGTATGGGAATCACGCAGATGAGCGGACGCATCCAATGTATGAACGAACACACCTAGTATAAGCAACTTTAGTAATAAACCATTACCGCCTGCCACGGGTTCTTACAAGTTTAATATCAGGATTTGGTCGAGCTAAAGTTCTAATATGTTAAAACAGAACGCCAGCTACCTTTACTAGCATATAGCCACCAGATGTGTCGATATTTTTCAGGCGTGCTTTTCGCTATTTCGATACACGTGATCCATGGTCTTTTGGGGCAAGATTACACAAAATGAGTATATTATACATGTATACTTCCATATACCATCGAAAAACCATTTGGAATGCATTTTGCACCAGCCGTACTTACTAATTTCACCGTTTTTTTATAGCTATCCAAAGGCCAAACAGCAAAGAGGCCCCGAAAACTTTTGAGTTCGATCACAGCTACTGGTCACATACCAGCGTAAGTAGAGTTTTTCTTAACATTCATTTCACCGTTAATGTAATTTACTTTACGGTAGCGTACGTGGTTTAAATGTATACACGCTTTAAAAAATCCCTTTTATCAGGTTGTAGCTGTTTTATTTTTTTAAGCAAACAAAGCACACATAAGTAGGTAAAAATTAATTATACTATTTTACGGGCGGAATAATAAACATACACTGTACTTGATTCAATGCAAAATTATTAGAGCAGCATAAGCTAATCAAGCGCAGTTAGAAATCATGAATTCTGATATTTGTCCAGAAAACAGACTCTTGATTTTTATGAAAATGTACCCAGTAACAAATGTTAAGCGAAATAAGAATATTTTCCGTTGAAGAAAACAGGTTAATGCAAACGCGCGCTTACTTAAATGAAAAAATATATAAGAGTAATAATTAGGTTGGGTATAGCTAAGGGTTGATCAACCATTGCTTTTGCAACCGGCACTTTGCAAGGACGACTGAAATAAGTACTAAGTCTAAAACTATTGAAATTACAAATAAGAGCATCCTGGCAATCGCCTTGCCAGTATTGAGTGTGGACGCTGTATGTTCTAGCCCACACGTTTAGGTTAGGTCGATTATTGATGTCAACCACTATACGGATGAATGACAATGGTGTCGGTGAATGTCGGGAGTAGGGAAAATACACAAAGAATGGGGAGCAAACACCTTGCAAATTCAGCATACATACTGGCCAACACTAGTACGTGCAAAGAAATGCAGAAGGATGCAAAGCGCTTGTGCGTTTATTCTTGGAAACTAAACATATAATAAATACGCAATAGTTATGGGTCTAAGAATGAAGTGTTTGCAGTTTGCGTAGTAGCCAGATGGACTAAACGAAATCGAAAATGAAATGTGCAACGGAATCTCCTTATGAGTGAGATGTGAAGTTTAACACGGCACTCGATGGGTTTTGAAACCATGTCGACAGCCAAACGATTTATTTACGTATAAAGTAGGCAAGGTATTTACCCTTGGGACGTCTAATCTCGGACCACATAACAAATGCCATCATGCTGGTGGGAGTTAAACAGCTGCTCTTTTCCTCAGCTTTTGATTTGGCTGCGATAGGCCTAACGACTAAGGATACTGGCTATGACTTCTTTGTGGTAGGTTGTGTGTTGTGTCTTAGCAATGTATATGGTGTCACGTATATAGTATAATATGACACTATAACAGCTGAGCCCAACTTACGTGGATCTGACCTAAATGGCATGCAGAGTTGTATGGTGGGCAATATATACATATAACGCATAGGACCGAAGTTTTCATGAAATGCAAGCCTTACTCGCTCAAAGGTTAAAAAAGGAAGTTTCCTATAGCTAATCCCTTCCGTTGATTTGCATTAGATGTAACTGAATGAGAGATAAAACGGTTGTCACAGTAACACGGAGTATGTTCAGCTACTGGGCTTGCTTTGAAATGCATTAACAACAATATAACGGTAAAATCTTATATCAGGGCTTGTTTCACTGAAGAAATGATACGTCGATCACTAGAAGTGCACAATGAAGAACCACTTGGGTAAAAGTGTTAATCACTCTCAAGATTTTGTACCAGTAAAATGCACAGTGTATTATTTGTTCACAAGCTTCTGCAACTCGAAAGTTGGTGAGGTAAAATGGGTTTATTCACGAGTGGCTAGAAATTAGTTGTTGATAAATCCCGCATACCGAAGCACTCTGCTTTCCATGAGCACTTTAAATCGTCACTGAAATCGGGGAAGAAAGATGCTTTTATTTCAGCTTCCTAAGCAAATCAACACCATCATAAGTATACACGTTCACAGTAGGTAGAAAGCACCTCAGCTACTGTGCCGCTATACAAAAGAAAAGAAAAAAGTGAAATGGAGCCACGCCGGCTGAGTCACCAGTAATGGATGGAGACCGTTCCGGAGAGCTAACAGCCGGTGATTGTGCAGCAGAAGGTCATATTATGCCTGTTAACTGAGCTCATGGTTAGAGGGGTGGCTACGCGGAAGGAAGAGACAAAGGAACTCACAACATAATTACCATTGAGGTCTGCTGCCAGCTATATCAACAAGTGTATCCAAACAAACGTGTGCATTGGATTTAGGACTTCAACCGGAGAGCAGAGTAGCTCCAACCGAGGAAAACTTCGAAGTGTGGGCCTTCATTTCTCTCGACCAAATCCGGTTGGCCACCCCTCCTCTTGTTCCATCCACACCCCCGACGTGCAAACAACGCAAGTCGCTGAAATCAGTGGGCTGGCACGTTTTACACGTGGTCCAGCCATCGGATCATGGTGTGTGAATGACGGTGCTGAGCAGTCCGCTTCTTCCTGCGTCATAAACAAAGCGTCAAACCCTCTTATTGCTCACGTCGTATTCCCACCAAATGTGAGCCAAATTGCGAAGGCATCGGTGGAGGAACGTAAGTATCCGCCTTACCTAGGCTGATCTAAGGGGCCAGGTTTTACAAACATACAGTAGGGTCGAACTTACTGCTGCATTGTTTACTTTACCCAACAGGGAGGTTGAGATGTCCTGCAGGCGCCATAGGTGGCGATTTTTATTAAAAGAGCACCGAGATTTTGCTATATGGTTTGTGATCGTGTTCACTTGCAACGGCGCTGACACAACTACCTAGATGCTTGAACTTTTGAACGAATTCTAGTCGATTCCCACCAAGGGTCAGCGCAGTAGGCAGTCCCTGCTAATCGTGAGAGAAAGCTTCACACTTCGAGGGTGCAACGCATAGCCCAAAACTGGTGACAGACAGTGCTAATCTCTCCAGTGAAGCTTGGCACGTCTGGGAGCTGTCACAGATGAGAGTAATATCGTTAGCATACTCCAAGTCATGAAGTCGTTCTGCTAGTAGCGGCTCCACACCTTCTAAGTCGTCTCCCGTGAACTCGAACTTCCTGACTTCTTCAACAGCGAAATTGAAGAGCGAAGGTGACAACGCGCATCTTTGTTGTACACCGCTGGAGATATTTAAAGGCATCGACAGCTTGCCGTAAGCCTAAGCTACGTGCGTAAAGCGCTGGCATAATATTCACATGCTTCTCGGGCATCCTATTCCTTAGCAGACAAACCTGAAGAGCCTGTTGATCGACTGAATCGTAAACCGAATCGAACCAATCAAGGAACGCGACATGTGTGGGCGCCAGCACATGTGACGGTCTTCTAACAAATAATGTAATTTGATTGAGTAGTTGATTCATCCCCGATCACGACGAAACCCGGCTTATTCTTCACGAATCTGGCTTTCACGAGTGCCAGTCAATCTGTGAAGGATTACAGAAGCAAGTACTTTGGAGGCGATGGGATCAGACTGATTCCTTTATGGTTGCGCATTTCGAACGGCAGCCTCCTTTGAAGCTGGAAAGAATAACGGAGCGGCTCCAGTCGGTTGGGACAGTTTCCTGTTCCCACACTTTCACTAGTAATCCGTGTAAATCATCAACAAGAGCAGGTCACCCGAATTTTTAATGGCTGGCTAAAGATCAACTGGCCTCGCGGCTTTATTCAACTTCAACAGTCCGATCGCAGTTCCACTTTTGAGCTAGAAGGTAGATCCAAAGGGACAGCACAGGGAGCAAGGGCAAGCACTCGTCAGTCAGGGAGCTAACAATTCCGATCGATTAAATTGCTTTTCATAATGCTCAGTCCAAAACTTCAAATGTTTTGACAAATTGTGGATAGGCTTTTCACATTCGTCACGTATTGTTTTAATAACACCAGGTCTCCTGCTGCCAGTTTATCGTATCGGACCGAACAACTTCCGTTGGTTACCAAGGTCAGCGACAATTTCCATCTCTGACCAGCTTCCCCAACGTTTACTGACCGCGAAGTGATCGATTTGCATTATTGGTTAGCCCGAGGCTAGTAGTCGCCATGTCAGTTTTCTGGGGGTGCAGTGTAGAAAGCTAGTACTGGCGAGAAATAGACAAGCCTCTTCACACAGGTGTAGAAACCGCTCACCATTTTCATTACGGGGCCCAAACCATTTTCGTCACCCAGATGAAGCTCATCAGTGGACAATTTTCCAACGTAAGTGTTCAGATCACTAAGAAGCACCAAAGTATCCATAGCTTCCTTGAAACGAAGGGGCACGTTAAGTTGCTGATAGAAGTCTTTCACCAAGTCAGTGCTATAATTTGTGGTCGCGTATGCAGCAATTATAAACAGGCACCGTTTGTCCTCTCGCGACTTCGAAGTTTCGAACAAACCGGCTAATCTGACGGTTAACATCCGGTTGTTGACTGGGATCCAATTAATCAGGGCAGCCCCAGTCCAAGCAGAACAATGCATCAGCAGTAGGCCATTACGCCGTATCGCGCTTTGCTGTCACGCAACCACCCCCAGTCGCGCGTGCGCTAAGGATACTGCAAGTTTTGTGCAGTCCTTTACGCAGGCTCGAACCCGCGACCTCCTGGTTACAAGGTAGACGCCTTGTCCTTTCAGTCACAGACAGGCTCGCATTTTTTATACATTTCCTCTGTAATTGTTAGGGGATAACGCTACTGCATTTAAGCAATTATGTCCGCGGGCTTAAATCAATGCCCACTCCTGCATGGCCGGAATTCAAAACAACCTCATCTCTGGATGGGCGCAATGAGAAGTTACCGCAAATGTCGCAAATGCGGGTCGCGGGCTATTCACATGACTCGTGTCTTGCAGGCTGGTTGCCGCTAAACAGCAGACATCGATCGACAGGGTCTGTTGTGTTCAGATAAGGGCTGTTTGTTGGCGAATCTATAACAAAGTGCGCTTGTTGAGGCATATTAGTCTTAGAGAGTGTCGATAGTTTCAAAAGGAAGCGGATGAACTCACGTTGTCCGCTTGGCTGAACATGGACTTGGGATTGTCGACTGGACTGGAGCGACACCCTGCAAGTGCTTATCAGGGGAACCTAGAAGACAATCTCCTGTTGAAACAACGTAGGAATGGCCAAGTATTATAATATAATAATAATAATAACTGTGTTTCGTTGCCGCGCGACCACCATAAGTCGCGCGGGCTATGTATTACGTGTGGACGCCCGCCCCTACGCGGATATTAACCTGCCACCTAATGGCTGCAAACTATGCCCGCAGACCACAAGGCCACCGGCCGACGAAAGGCCAAGAATTGGGGTTAAAAACAGGAGGATAAATGTGAAGTTGGCACGGAACGATAAGTAGGAAAAAGCGTAACAGGAGGAGTAAGAAGACGAGGAAGTCTCAGCAGTAGCACCTTAAATGGCCGGTGAGGGATCTAACAATTCCGATCGATTAAATTGCTTTTCAAAATGAACAGCCCATCTCTCCAAACATTTTGAAAATTGTAGCTAGGCTGTTCACTCTCGACAAGTATAGTTTCATTAGCATCAATCCTCCTGCTGTCCGTTTCCCGTAGCAGACGAAACAACTTGTTATGGTTACCAAGGGTAGCGGCCTCCTTCATAGCTGACGCACGATGAGACCACCAGGCTTCACGGTCTCCCTTCAGGCTAGCACGGAGTTTTACCTTGATGTAGTTGCGTATCCCGTTGTGTTTGCTTCCGGCCGGAATGTGCCGTCGAGTATTATACGTTCCACAGACTGCAAAGAGACCCAACGTTTATTTTGGCTCGTGGATTTAACACATGATGATTTGCCCGCTTCAAGTAAGGTATGGTGAACATGCCACCAGTGACCTTCAACCGTATTCAATGAGCGTGTGCCCATCCCGAACGTCAGCGTAGTTCGCTACGCATTCGAAACACTTGGCTGGTGTTAATGCACTCACAGGGTCGTCAAGTGCGACGGCCAAAACGCACACGCAGATCAGCACATACAAGTGCATGGTCAGTGTCCACACATGTGCTCTAACTCGAGCGGCAGTTATGGACGCAGCCTCTCCAGCGCTAACTGCTCGCAATGTGATCGGTTTACTTCCATGACTGCATCGAGGCTAGTAGGCGCCAGTTCACCTTCCGACAGGTGCTGTGTCGGAAGTTAGTGCTCGCATGAAATAAAAGAGCATTTTCACACGAATAAATAACCACTCACCGTCATCAGTACGGGTGTCTACACTATGTTGGCCGTCCAGATGCAATTCATCGGTGAATAAATGCCCAAGTTGAGCGGTCAGCTCCCCAGCAAGGGTTAGGGTGTCCGTGCTTCTTCTGTGGCGAAGGAGTTCGTTCATTTGACGATAGAAGCCGTCTTTTACCGAATCATCGCTACAAATGTTGAGGGCGTAGACAGCTACGACAAACAGACACCTATTAGCCCCACGTGACTTCAAAACTTTGAACGAGTCAGCCAGTGATACCGCACACATACGCTACTGATTGTGATCCAATAAACCAGAGCAGCTTCATCCTGCGATTTAGGGCAATACGAACACCGGCTTGGCCAGTATTCAAAGCTGAATCGTTTCCGGATAGATGCAATGTGCAAGAACAGCTAGTGTCACCTGAAGGGGTTCGCAGAGTGAAAACAGAACTCGGGTCTTGTAGGCGGGTTTCCGATACGCAGCAGATACCAATCGAAAGGGTTCCCAATACCCGGGCAAGTGCTGTTTGTTGACTGATCTGTACTAATGTGCGTACGTTGATGCATGCTAATCTGATGGAGAATTGAGGGCTCCAAATTGAAGCCGATGAACAGCAATTGACGGTTTCGTTGGACATAGGCATGCCGATAAGGCAAGTGTGACGCTCCGCGTTTACATGTGAGTTGAAACTATAGGATAAACGCCTAGCAAAGGATGTTGGGGAAGGGTCAAGAATCGGGGGATTTAAAAATCGGGGGAGAAAAGTGAAGTTGAGACGGGGTCATAAGGGAAAAAGAGTAAGCAGTAGCATCCAAGCCCTCTCCACCCTGCTCCATGCAGCAAGTAGGGCTCCCTTTATTACCCTCTGCGGTGGCCAGAGCAAGAGGAAACTGATGGAGAAAAGGTGTATAGCATTGTTTGGGCCCGATACTGTCAGGCTGCCCAGGCATTGACAAGAGAACGATTAATGTTCTTAACCAAAGCCTTTGGTTCAAAATCCTGACCGCAAGGCATTGGGTTTAGCACTAGACTACAATGAGTCCATTTTGAATAAGAAGGAGCCACCCCATACCAACCTTTTAACCTGGAAGACCAGGAGGCTGCATTTGTCTAGCCTCTAACCATTGACCAATCTGGTATGAATGGCTCTGAAGGTACAAATAAAGCGTTGCTCAGCGTACCTCAATGGACCGCTGAAGCACGCAAACCATCGCACCACTGTAAGGTCCAGCCTCATTGTGATGCACTCAGGAATGTGATCAATGTGAAACTGTCGGACAAATATGGGTACCGCAGTGAATAAAAACATTCCCGGCCACAATGCTTCACCTACGTGTGGAAGTGGTTTCGCGCTCTTCCCATCGTCTCAAAACGGAATTTTGGTTAGTTCACTGCATTCTGTTATGTATCGACCTTCTTTACTTTCTGGTACAGGACGTCTAAGGCACAAAACTATACCTCTGAGAAAGACGATCACAGAACATGGGTTTATCTTATTGCAACACAAAACCGAAAGTAACGTAAACGGTTCAATAGTGGAACACTTGGTTGCCACTGAAGTTCAAATTTACATCACAGTTAGGTATTTCACCGTTTACTGTGACATGATCCCAGGGGATTCACATTATACATGAAGGCAAAGGTTTTATCCGTGACAAGTAAACGATTGTTACCAGGAGTTTATGGACGGAGTTCGCTTTGGCGTGACCAAAAGTTTTCAGGACCATAGCAACTTAGCGGAATTACCAACCACCAGCCGGTACGTAGTGGTCAGCATTCGTGGCCATCGGTTGATGTTGCTCCACACTAATTGACGAGTATTTCCACTACCTAGAGTAATCACGCCCCTCAATGGATCTACATTAAGCTAGAAATAACTACCAATTCCAACTGACATCTGATTTAGGCTTGTTCATGCGACAAGAGGTCTGTTGACATATTCCTCCTAGACAATGGGATTCAAATGCATGAATGAACATAAAACAAGCGATATTTGGGTGCATGGATAGAAGTCCATCGTACTTAGCTTCAGTTTATATACACCTATTATTACCAAGAAGCACAATGTTTATAAAATTTACCTCTTGAACTCGCCGACAATGTTAACCAGATCATAGCAGGAGTAAATCTGAAGACCGATTCCTAAATTTGTTTGCATAATATCGCATTTATATGCGCATTTTTCTTGCAAAACGGTGACTACTCTAACAAAAATAATTAGCATAACCATTCGAGTTGGCGAGGCCTTTACATCGACAGTGCCGTTGTCACTAAACATAATTTTTACAATATCGCTAAGGATACATTAGTTTCCTTTGAATATTTCAAGATGGATATTTTCAATGTTATCGCTGCTGACCGCGTAAACTTTGAGAAAAATTTAAGCTACTGCACACGTGAAGATGGACGGTCCCGTTTGGAAGTCTAGCTTGCAACGCTGGCTTTAAAGTATTTTGTTCGAAACTGTTTAGTTGTTGCTCTTTTATACTGACCGCTTAGTTAACTGACACTCTTACACAATGTCCTATTATCCATTGTTATTTATTTATTTTTGATAATAGAATTTAGCTCGTCCGTTGTCAATTTTTTAAAGTGCGGAAAATATATCCATCTAGATGCATAAGGCTTTATTTGGCTTGACTTGGCTTGTACTAGTATGCGAAGTGCATATCTTCCGTAGCTTTGGGAGCTTGTAATGGACTTTTACAACACCATGGACATGGAAACCAATTATGGTCATTTTTAGAAATACCAGGTTGTTACTTTCGCTATGGCATTTCACTGAATACCACCCATTTTAGTGATGTTCGTTTAATGCTCTGGTTACGCTACAAACCAAGCAATTAAACAATTGCGCTTAACTTGCACAGGGAAAAATGTAACGGTGAAGGACATTTAACGAATTTTGGTTCGCTGTCATACTGGTGGTTGTGTTTGTTAGCCTCTCACTGAGGCTCTTCTACTCTGCTTTACTTTACGGTAATGTACGCCACTCCACTACGCATTGATGATGTCACCTGCATTAGGGATGAAGCGTCTGCAACCAAATTGCCGAGCTCTGCGAACATTTCAAACGCCATTCAAGTATCTAGTTCCCGAATTCGTCATTAAATGGTAAATTTAACAAATTCGCATCGGCCTGTCTAGTATAACATTGGTTTAACTTTCCACTGAGGTGCTTTATTATAATAAGTATGAAATCAATTATTTGCCGGATCAGTCTGCTGGAATCGGTACTAGCTGTTATTTCCAGTTCAACTAAGCGCCCGTTTTTCAAATAACTTCATTGGAGGTGCGGTCTTCGTGTATTTCATCTGTACTTCAGAATGTAGCCAAAACTGGGGCAACCGATGCATTGAGTAATAAGACTAATCCTATAGAATTTCGCGCCTTTAGTTTAGCAAGTTTTACGATTCAAATAGTATTGCTAAGCCGTAAGGATTATGTGATTTACTGATGCTGCTGATTTCTTAATATACAGGAGAAAGACCCCTTGTTCGCCAGTCAACACCGTATTTACAATGAATTGGGTCTGCACACCTTGAATCATGCCCTACAAGGCTACAATGTTTGCATTTTTGCATATGGCCAAACTGGGTCCGGTAAATCCTACACCATGATGGGTGGGAAGCCCGGAGTGGAACACGAAGAGGGACTGATCCCTAAACTCTGCCGCGACCTTTTCAAGCGACTACAAGATTTCACTGCTGACCACTGCGCTCAGGACGGTACCTACTGTGTCCAGAGCATGGTCGAAGTAAGTCAACTAATTGGGGTATCATGTTTGATATGATAAAGATGTTTGTTTTGACCGCGTTGCTTTCCTTCACTCACATATGTCAGCGGTCCAATTAGTATTTGTATAATTAGTCCCTTCAGCTGTGATATATTTCTTGAAAAGAAGTGAATGTACACTGGGCTGTACTCAGCTGAAGTTGGTTTTTAGGTCCATGCTACGCTGCTGAGTGTTGTTCAACCAGCTTGTTGCCATGGAAAGTTAACAGAATAAATCGACACAATGGGGGTACCAGACAGCGTTCTCAGTGTGAAATAGCCGTTTTGGCGCATTGTAAATGTTTAACATGCATTCACTGAACAATTGAATTTTCGCTCTGTGAATCTCGTTGCCACACAATCTGTCGTTTCAATAGCCTTTGCCTACGTAAATGATTTTGTGGCAAGTATTTTTTAACTGTGTTAGCACTTAGGCTGAGGGTGAGATTAAACTATACACATTCTGGAGCTGGAGAATGGCGGTGAATTTCCGTTCTTTGATGTTTTGCTACGAGGTCGAATCGATGGCTCACTCGAGAGAAGAATCTCCCGTAAGACAACCTGGGTTGGACAGTATATGCACATTTTTACTTTTGTACTCATTAAGTACAAGAGAAACCTCGTGCGCTGTCTGCACTATCGGGCCGCAGGAATTTGCAGTCCAGAAACCCTAGCAACGGGATTGGAGTTTATTCAAAAGACGCTGCAGAGCAACGAGTAACATGGGACGTTTATCAAAAAGCACTCCGCGGTTTCTGTTCAAATTAACGGGATGCTGACCGTTGGAAAGGCTTACCGCTCAGTTCCTTTCAAAAGATATTTCGCTTTTGATTTACTGGAAAGGAGACTATCACTGGCAGTATGCAAGACATATCCAGTCGCTAAAGTTCACGTATTTGCTGAAACTGTTCCGCTCGTCTCACAACGCCTCTAAGACAGAATCCCGACTCGTTCCGAATCTTTTGTTCTATATCACTTTACCTGCACCTGTGGTGCAAGTTACCTCGGGTATACGACCAAGCATCTATCTAGGCGGATAGCGGAGCGCTGTCCTGCCTCTTTGCAACATGGTATGGTAAATGAAGTCCGCAGCTCGTTCCTCGAACATCTGCTTTGTACCGGCTATCCGATCCGGACTAATGACGCATTTAAGCTAGTCTACATGGCACCGAGGTGCAACCCTAAAGGAATCAGAACGCGCTTGTTGGCCACCGCTGAAGCCCTTGCAACCAGAATACTTCGGCCGGATTTATGCAAGCAGAGAACACTAATACAATCTGTACTGTTGCCGTGGCCGTAATGTCGGAAAACGGTTACGACTGAGAGTTATCATAGTAGACCTGCCGGCCAACGCATATGTGTTTTGTGCGTCTGTGAGCCTCCACGCGTGCTCGAGCGACTCATGACGTCTGACTGTATGGAGTGGACTAATGATCGACTTCGTTCAAACAATCACATCCCCAGCGTTCGCTTACCTTACGTAGGTCTACTTGTAATTGTATTTGCCTGAAGTGAATTGCCGAAAAGAGTTCTCTTCGCAAGTATTATGCTTCTGATATCTGAATGGGCATAATTAATGAACAATCTCGATTGCCTCCTATTTATCGCCAGCGCAGTCCATCATATTTTACAGCCGTTATATTTTCATAACTTTACGCAAATAAGATCCCTTAAGTTTCCAGATTGTGGAACGCACACCAAATACCTTGATCTTTTAATGAGTTTTGTTAGGACCAGCTTACATTCTGCAACCTAGTGCCCGCTTACAGTAAATTGTTGAGAATATATTGCACACAAGTTTGTTTTATACTCCCTGAGTTACCGAATGCAATGCTAACGGTCCCTGAATGGCCGGTTGCATTCCATAAGTGGTGAGTTAATTCTGCATGTCTACTGCAAGCCAGATAATACCACCCATCTGGAGTGCAATGGAACACTGGTTTTACACGGGTAACATAGCTGAGGCTTAACACGTCCCGGGGAATGATCATGAGGAAATTTTGAAATATAGAAAATATTATCAACAAGTTCAGTTTCATACCGGTGGAATCACAAAGGTATTGGAAGTATAAAAGGACAATCCCCTGTGAATCAAGTTACGTTCTTTAACCCACAGTTGTATCCATTTACACACACATATGTCTCCGTTTACCACGATTTCGTGAAAGCTGGGGTGCGCAATATTTGTCTGTATCCCGTTATCATTAAGTGAAGAGAAATCAAATCAGGTAATACAGGTGCTGTAACGCGTCGTCGTCGTTTTTGTAAAAGCGGAGTAACGTAATCGCAGAAATGGCAAAAGTCGCAAGAGCCTTCCAGGCGTGACAACTTCGAGGAGAAAAACCGGTCCGATGGCATTGCAGCTAAAAGTATTGCGTAGCCACTTTTAGGTGGTGACCCCGCAATTTTGTGCTGCGGCTAGGTTTTAAGAGGTCATGGCAAGCGTCAACTAAATTTTCCAAACTCTGCTACACCTGAACGAAGACACTCCGCAGACGGCGATAAGTTCCGCTGCACACTCCTGAAATTTTTAGTCGCAATAACATCACATTGTTCGCTGTCCTTCGTTCTGCGGTATTTATTGCAACCAGATCTCACGTTAACTAGTGTTGTCAGGCCTGAATCGCGTACTCCATAACGTGCCCCATATGCGCCTTGAGCATTTGGAAGAACATGGATGGGTCAAACCTCCCGAACGCACTTCGTAAAAGATCAAGAAGTTGGTTAGTCGTCATGGTCGCCGAACAGCCGAGGTTGTCATTCTTCAGCACCCCAAGATCGCGTTCCTGTGAGGTGGTTAACTTCACGTGGTTGTCATACATATTTGCGTGGATGGACTTGTGGAGTACAGTTTTTTAGTTGACCACATTAAACGAAGTAAGTTTGCGTTCGACCATTCAAAGGCACGGTTAAAATCTCTTTGCAACACATCGTGAACATCCAGAAAACCGATTGCCGACATGAGTTGATGTCATTGGCAGAAAGTAGGATATTTGACTCGATGAAGGGCGCGACATTTGTGATGACCAGGAATATACACGCCCCCAACACCAATCCTTTAGGACATGGCGGTCCACGTCACTAGGAACAGAAAATGAACCCCTACCCCGAACTTGAAGTCAGCGATAAGGGAGGAAGTTTCCGATCCATGTAACTGGAAGTGCCATAATTGCTACGCAACCAGATGTAGGCATTACATACCTAAAACATGGGGAAGTAGAAAATTCTCTTCTGTCAATTTGAGTAGTATAAAAGCGTTACCTTGAACTCAAGCCAATAGCCATTATAATCATCCAATCCAAAAGTTTAGTGATAGGCTTAACAGGCAGCAAGTAGATATTCACGAAAAAGCAATGGTAGAAAATCAACTGACTATTCCCGCACATTGGTTATAAGTTGTAAAGGCCGACCCAATTAATTTTTAGTGTCATTTTAACCTTCTCTTGAGTGCGCTTTGCTTTATTCTATGCTGCGTGACTAGTTAGACTTTAACTTTCACCATTTTTCCGTTTAGTGCCACTGCCACTAGACTGGCCTCGGTTGTACTGTTATTTCTTGGCTTACGTGTTACCGACGATCTAGTGTTCGCAACTCTGCTAATCGGAACGGGCGCAACGATGTTACCTGATACTACCCTATCTACAGAGTATCTGGCTAAATGTAGGTCCCTACGGCTTTACAAATCTAGCTGCCAGGCGTGTGTACATACGAGCTGACAAATCAGGCTAAACGCGTGCCCCGCACGACTGAACTGGAAAATGGAAAGATATAGCCTGGCTGATAAGAGAGCTGGTTCACTGACCTATGCAAAGGCAAAGATGCCCTCTGCGCGTTCGTATTACAATCCAAACGCATGGCAACATAAAGTCTTAAAGTACAAGAAAGGCGAAGGCCAGGACGGCAACCGAGTTGTCGCATGAAAGCAGTCGACTGTACTTAAAGAATACCTTGGGTGCATTCTGCACTGTTGGCGTCGCTACATAACAGCTGTGCTCATGAAGATAACTCACTTGTGAATTGTACATCGAGTCTGCAAATGGCGGTAACGCCTGCAAACACTGGGATGGCGGGCTTAAGGAAGCTGTGCTCAACTTTGGTATAACTATTCCAAACAGGAAACATAGCCTTAAATTTCCCCATCCGCTCTATCAAACAGTTTGATTAAACATTATTACACATCTTACCTATGATGCTTGGTTGTTTAGTTGACGTGATTTAAACCGTCCTTGCTTTCGTTCCCCTTCGGATAGGTTTCCTACATCGAGATCTACTGCGAACGCGTGCGTGACCTATTAAACCCAAAGAGCAAGGGTAACCTGCGTGTCAGGGAGCATCCAATCCTTGGGCCCTATGTGGAAGACCTGTCAAAATGCGTGGTTCGCTCCTTTGCTGAGATTGATGAGCTCCTCAGCGTTGGAAACAAAGCAAGGTAAAAACAAAAACCATCGAATTTCTCATTTTGCCGCAGCCTGAGGCAAAGTCCGCTTGTGCAGCCATATAAACATTTTTAGGTTCAATTGATTTCCGTTTCCTTTCTGCAAAATCTGCCTTAGTCCCTTGGACAGTGACAGTTGTTTCAGGCCTGTTATAGTGTCACCAAAACTCGGGTTGCTGGGGTTCCTTTGAATGGCGTAATTCACATACAGTCAGATGATGAATTCACGTATGGTGAAGACATTTACAGGGAAAACGAACCTTAGATTTAATCACTAAGATGGGCAAGCGTAAACCAATAGTTTCATTGACGTCACGGGTACACGAACCAATAGCAGGAGTACAAGTCACGTGATGCGGGGAGGCATCACGCATTGGCCGAACGCAATACACAGCGGTAGGGGAGTTGGGCAAGGCCACTAGTGGTAGTTAGCTCCCTCTAGAAAACGATAGTTCCCTTTCACAGTTGAGCTGTGGGAAGTGGATGTGTGTAAACTGAAGTCTTTCCTTCTGTCGCTCCATTATGACCGAACCGTAGAGTGGCATTATTTATTTGGGGCTCGGTTACTTTTGACAGTGTAATTGCTTCGTACGTAGCATGAACGCGCCTACGGAAAGATTAATGAGCTGATTAAGAGCTTAGTGCACTGTAAAATAAAAGATGTTAGTTGTACTTGTATTGAATTAAGATGCTTTTGATCAATATTGATTTACTGTGACAAGTAGACTGCTTAGTTAACCGTTTTCCTAAACGGCAAAACTCAAATTTATCATGAAGGAAAATGAAAATTTTTGCGTAGAGCACGTCTCCTACAATGTATCAGGTGTATATTCATCAACAATCATTGTACACGTCGTGGCATGGATAAAAAATATTAATGATAAATCAAGATGTGGAGTAACTTTCAAAAAGTGACCCTTCAAGGCTTTTCTGACACTACCTGGTATACCGCTTAAAAGGATATGGCCACAAACCTCAACAAAGCAAGGCGTGACTGGCGATGAACTCGGTCTGTTTACACAGTCAGATGAAAGTTGAGCGCTTTAGTTTCACCAATAATGTTCCACCTTGAGCGTCCCTGTATGTATATTAGCCATTCCAACAAATAATGGTAAATGTTGTTATTTCGATTTGGAAATGCTCTGATAGCATTTTTGGCTCCAAGCACAGGCAATAACACCTTTTAGTTTGTCCGTGAAAATCATTAATACTGAATAAAACGTGCAGGTAATCCAATATTGTGGACTATTTACAGTTTTACTTTTTAATTTGTGAATTGTGCGCGGATGCGGTTTTGTTAGGGATTAATGCGGGATTTATTCGCTTTCACATGGTTAGCACGAATATACAGTGGAAAATCAAACGGATGGTGAAAGCTTTCGACTATAGTAGGGCGATTCCTGATGCTTTCCAAGTGGTCCGTTACAGCTACACTGAGTAAAACATAAAGCACACTTTAAGAAGAGAGCCAGATGACTGTTCTATCACACTAGGAACTTATGGATAGATTGTATCCACTCAGTTATACGGCATGCAAACCAAAGACTTCCACATGCAGAAGAGAATTAAAGCGCAGCTCGTAACCGCGTATATTAACTGAGAGCCCATAGCTGCATTGTCAGTTGACGCAATTAATTTAACTCCGTCTGTTGTTGTAAATCGCAAATTACACATTCCAAGCAAGGTAAACTCTAAAACTGGTATGCTTTTCTCTGTGCATACGGTATTTTCCCTACTCTTGGGAACAGTTGAGATATGTCACGAAAATTTTATTGTTATAGCCGCAACACAAAACCATTGATATGTTGAAGGTCGCTCAGCTGAAGTGACCTTTTAATACGATCGATGGATATAGAATATTTCTTTAGTATTTAGTTTTGGAAAATTGGCCATCGCAGTAGGCATAATTATGATGACTGAAAAACAGAACGCGTTATGATTTCAGCTCATTGTTATCAGCGTTTGAGTGTATTCAAACACTAACTGGTTAGCTATCCTTCGGCTTATGAACTCAAATCCACCCACAGATGCAGTGTCTATGGAAGTCCAAACTTTAGGTGCTAGTCACCAAATGGCGCTTCTTTCTAAGCACATTTGTAATCTTTCAAGGAACTAAGATTTGTATGGCAAGGCACTTTACCAAAGAATGTTGGGACAGACATTAATGATGAAAGTCCTGCATAAGATCAATGGTCAACAAGTCTATAACTCGTTATGTAGTGACAACCGTTTCTTCTGAACGGTAGTATCTAACTAGTAAATTACGAATGACCCAGCTATATTATCGTAAGTAAACAGTTTGGAGGTCGCTTGCTTTTTTGCATAACTAATGGCTCAGACAAAATCCTAATAAGCAAGAGTTTACGAGTATAATCCAGTTAACTTTTCGTAGAGAATCAGCCACAGATCAGCCAAGCTGAGTAACACGATGTTCAGTGGTCACATCTTTTATGCTTTACCACCCAGAAACTACAATAATTTTGTTCTGGAATCCGAGAGTTGCAGTATACACATTCTAAGGAACGTTTGTTCGGTTGTTGTAGCAAAATTAATTACGATTAAGGGACGCTGTTTTCAGTCGTCCAATCCTATGGATGAACGTCCAAGGAAAGGGAACAACTGGTCTTTATGTCTGCTTCTCAGAAGCAATCGTAAGTATTATTTTATAAGTCATTCATGCAGCCATTTCCCTTCAGAAATTTTAAGAGAGCAAGAACGAACAACATTTCTGCGGGATAACCTGAATTCAGATTATTTCGTGTCTTCTCATTCAGCCGCTTACAGACAAATCGTGGAAGGAGTAAAGGAATGCAATTGAAAAGGGTGTCAATAGGAAAATCAATAAAACACTGAGCAAACCAAGGTCATTGCCTGCGTCGTACCAGGGCAAGGCAAGACTGGCCACAAAGTCTATCTGTTTGCAAAGGTTCGGTTTCATTCGTCTGATGGCCGAGGCTTCAGCGAAACGAAGCAAGCTTGCGTTGTTTTGTCTGCTGATAACCTTGAATGCGTCACGTGGGTTTTCGCACAATGTACAATCGAGCAGATGCTGAGCGATTGAGCTGGCAGGGAGTTTAGGTCCACTATTTGCCAGGTTCCGTGGAACATGTTCCATGATCCTAGTTGATAGCCTTCTCTCGGTTCGGCCAATGTACATGCTACCGCAAGTACAGGTGAATTGGTAAACACATGAGGCGGTAGCAAATAGTGGACCTAAACTCCCTGCCAGCTCCATCGCTCAGCATCTGCTCGATTGTACCTTGTGCGAAAACCCACGTGACGCATTCAAGGTTATCAGCAGACAAAACAACGCAAGCTTGCTTCGTTTCGCTGAAGCCTCGGCCATCAGACGAATGAAACCGAACCTTTGCAAACAGATAGACTTTGTGGCCAGTCTTGCCTTGCCCTGGTACGACGCAGGCAATGACCTTGGTTTGCTCAGTGTTTTATTGATTTTCCTATTGACACCCTTTTCAATTGCATTCCTTTACTCCTTCCACGATTTGTCTGTAAGCGGCTGAATGAGAAGACACGAAATAATCTGAATTCAGGTTATCCCGCAGAAATGCTGTTCGTTCTTGCTCTCTTATAAGTCATTGTTTTTCCAAAGACGCTTTTTCAATAGCTTAATGAACCAAATGCACACCAGACTTTTCCACTCAGTTTGGCTTACACGAGGGATTAAATTTGTATAAGAGCAACGTGGTTGTGCAGCGCTCAGGTAATCGGAATAGCAAAAATTGCGACCAGCCGTTCGTCCAATCAGGTCGAATGCTTGATCGATTCCCCAACGCGCTAAGCCACGTGACGCCAGTTAAGTACAGGATATGATAAGTGTGGTGCATAGCAAGCACTAATCGAAGCATTCGCTGAAGCATAATTGGAACACCTACTTAGATAACCCATAAAAGTCTTCGCGTCTTGCAGAGCACATAACTGCATGCCACTGGATCAGTAAGCTAATTGAGCAAAGCGCCGAAATTTTAGGTGTCCGAATATTCGAGACTGACTATGACTACCCAAAAGCTGACAGTTAGCTGAAGTCAACATGAGTTTTATTTACGCGGATGGATGCATTTTTAGCAATTTTCATCAGCATCACTAGAAATACAAACAATTTACACATGTATGTACAATAAGGGAAAGGGTACGCTGTTGTCATTCGAGGAAATGTACCCGCATTCCCGAGCAACAAACAAAGGTTGCTGAGCCCTGCGAAGAGTTATAGAAACGTCTTTTATATCAGGTCTAAATTGGTCTAAATTCCGTGTCGAAAAGAAACAACTCGTGAATCGTGCGTATTATTTTGGCTGCTTATATTGAAAACACACATAGAGTACCACGCGCCTACACATAAGTTCGTAACCAACTGTCCATTCAGTAACAGTACCCGAAGTTTCATATACTCCGCAGATTGTACAGAGATGATATTCGCATTTTTTTAAAATGAGTCTTTTGCCATTTTTATTGCATTATATCTGCGAGTCGTTTACAGGACCGAATCATGTTGGGCTTCATTACGGGGCTAAACTATATCCATAAGCTAAAGCTTCTTCTAGTAAGAGTCGAGGGTTTTATCTAACGTGTTACAGTGTTACTCACACGGTTTTGTGACCAGATTTAGCAATAGTACTTAAGCACTGGTGATCACAGACAGTTAGATTCTTAATGTTTTCAGTGTGGAGCGGTCATGGTTCATATCCATGCAACGGCACCGGTCTCATTGAAAAGTTGCACGCTTTACTCTAAGCTGATGAAATGACACACTATCAACTCTATCAATGTTTGGAATTCTGAAAACTTGCGGCATATTGCTGAAGAGTGAAGTGACCTCAGTGATGTGACCGCCAGAAGCGACGCAAATTCCCGGTTACGTGATCCATTCGATTATTTCAAGCGGATGTTTAGCGATATTTGTAGCAGATGGCCTTCTTAATCCGTCCTGCACTTGTAGGTTAGGCTTCGAATATATGTAGCGTGTACCGAAGTTTGGAGATTGGAGCCATTAACTTTAATATATCCTGTCTCAAAGCAAAGTTCGTGTATTGAGAGCAACAAGTATAAACCAAATGAACTATTATTAAATGGCGAGGGTCACAAAGGAAAGAAAAGGCAGAGGACATCATAATTCCGGTGACACTAAGTAAGCATAACTGATGATGTGAAGATCTCTAATGCGACGAACACACACAGCGAAGCATACCCGAAATTTGCAGTGACGCGTGAAACCCAGCATGTTGTACGGCCTACATACCTATTATACAGTTCCACCAGTAGGCCTGCTTAGAGAAAGCTAACCCGGATTGCTCACTATGTAAACTTTACGAGTTGCTCTCATATTCCAACCAAGCGCCGACTCGTCGGGATATGGTTTTGTTCGGTTCACATTATGTACACCCGAAACATCATGGAAAGAGTGTAGGGTGTACATATTTATAGGCTGCAATCCAATGGTTATCGTTTACAGTTTATTAAGCGCCGCAGTAACAATCTAAAGGAGATGATGTGTCGTCTCAAAGAAGCCAAGCTCCACTGATCTGCTTTAAAAGGTGATCACACTATGAATATCATCAAGAAAGGAACAAGTGATTCACTGACATAAAACATGCAAGATAGCAGAACTGCGACTTCTCACCTCGACGAGTCCTGTCTATATGTTTTATTAAGACACTGACGACTAGGCAGTGCATACAAATTTAACTGTAGCAGATGGAAATTGGGTATTGCCCACCCGAAAACACTGCACAGCCACGACGCGTTTCGATGTAATTTCATCTAATCAGGTGGAGACAGCAGGATTTGAACCCACGACCATTGGAATAGCAGCCAACACTACTACCCCTTTGGCTACCGGGTCACGATGGGCAACACATTTTGTCACAACGGTAGATGTCTAATTGGAGGGTCAAGTTTGGATTACACGTCGGGTGGGCAATGCCCAATTTCCATCTACTTTGAATACGGTCCCAGCGATCGCAGTGACTAAGGTTCATTTCAATGTGAATCACAGTCCATTACATTGAAGTTGCGTGTCGCAATCCAATCACACAACGTGTAATCCAAACTTGACCCTCCAATTTAACTGTAGCTGTAATAATTGCGTTGGCGTCAGTAACATAACTTAGTTAGCAGAACCAATGAGCACATCCCAAACGGTTAAATAGCGGTTGGTATACGTGAAAAAGAAATCGGTTGAATCAAAAAACCCAGTTGCGTCGGCAGTCACAGGGTAGTTGCTGATCTACCAACACCGAGTGGGTTCTAATGAGTTGTTCGCAGTCCTTGTGCGATCAGCTACCCCAGATGCTTTGGCTGCTGGAGGTCATGGTTCCCGATTGCAAATGCCCACCACTGTGCATCCAAACAGCAGATTGTGGCTTTAATTTTCATTTGGTAACGCAAGCGCTTAGCCATCAACCATACAATATGACACTACTTTTTATTTATCTACCGCTGTTTTGTGTATGTGTTTGATAAGAATACAGGAAGTGACATCTATCAAACTGAATCTTTGATTTTCCTGTTCGAATTTATACTGAAAAATTCTTAAAGTTTTGAAAAATGACTGCAATTTGATGCATTATAGATAGCTGGCATTTGCGCATTGCACTATCGGCTGAACTGTGCTATAATAATTAGACAACTGGTAAAGAGTATCGGTGCTACAGGCAGCCGATGCTTGGAATTTTCACTTTTCGCTCGCACTTAAATTTGTGCACTATTTTTACAAATTGGTCCATTATAAGGAAATAATTACTGTTTTAAGATAGAATGGTGGAAATGTAATGCGGAGGCCGAACGACCAGTTAACTGTAAACAGATAAATCACCCGGTAGGAGTAATAATCTAGTGGAACATGTAACTACAGTAGTCGTGGTTATACCGTAGTGAAGTAGAGCATACATTTAGCATGATCTCGCTTACCTGATTTCAACCACCAAAGTAAATTATCATTGTGCTAATTAGTATCAAATGAACATGTATAGTTGGGATTAGACAGCAGTTTGAACCCAAGATCACAACTTTCTTCCCTGGACCATATATCAATGTAGTTGACCAAATTGGTGAGAGCAGTGTGTGATGCCTCGTATGTCATTGTTGAACGAAGAGTCGGTGTGGCGTTGATTGTCAAGTAGCAGTGTCATATTTAGAGAATAAAAATTAAATCACTACATGTAACAAACATGTAACGAAACGGCTTTATCTTTCCAATGACGTGGCAGACTTCACGGTGGGTACTAATGCACATTCTACAGTGTCAACTGAAAAACTACTTTTGGAACAAAGCAATTACAACCCAACGAATGACTCCTTTATCGAAAATCACAATCAATATCATAATCGGAGTTGTTGATGACCCTTTCTTGATGGCAAACGAAGAAATGTCGTCGTAAAGTTTTGCAATAGTACCACGTACCTTACAAAAACGAAAATTAGTTTGCTTTTCGATAGACAGCCAAGGAATTCACCTGCTTTTTGCGAACGGATAGTTCGGTTTATGCATAATTGTGATTTAATAAGTTAGTTTGATATCATGCCGTAAGTCCGAAAATCAAATTTGATAACTCTCATGCAGCATGAAAATGCCGAGCCGCCTGGTCAATGTACCGGTCCAACAAAACTGCGGATCATAAAAACAAGCCTTGGATTTCTTCGTGTGTAGTAGTTTTGGTCAGCTTAAATGCACCGAATAGTGATTTCTTATGGGCGCATATAAAGTATACGCCGAAGATTATTTCCCCTCCGCGATTAAAATTCGGTCACTGAGCGTAATTACTGTTAAATGCATCACTAATTTCGTTTTCAGAACCGTCGCTGCTACCAATATGAATAAGACCAGTAGCCGATCCCACGCCATCTTCACTATGATCGTCACGCAGCGAATGGTGGACGCGAGAACGGATGTGATCACTGAGAAGGTAAGCCGTGATAATTTATGTTGTACACTTATTCTTCGCATCGTTCTACGCCCTTAACATTCGCCGAATTTACGAACTTGCGGCTGTCCAGATTTTGGTGGGCGTGGGAAATGTGATCACGTGCGGGCAACATCACTGATTGGCTCTGTTGTAAAAACAGATCATTGGCTGTCAGAATTTTCTCCTTTCACCAACACGCTCTGTCCAGTTGAATTCGTGCGGAGAGGCGGTTATTGTCCTAACCACCACGGCTATCTCTGTCGACTCTCACAGCACATCGACATGCTGCTGGAGGGATTTGATGACTTAGGGAAGAATGGATAAGTTATAGTTTGGAAAGAATATAGGTTGATGAGCCAGGGTAGAGCTGATGACATGAAACTGGCCTACGGATGGAAACTGAATGTCCTTACGCACACGACCACTAAGTAATAACATAAGTAATATTTCACTTTATTTTTAATTGTAAAATGCAGTCCGCCGAATTAGAATACTAGACGTGAAGCAGGTGAATCAGATAAACTACTGAACAATTCCTACAGATTGTCAGAGCACACCACCGTGTTTGATACACAACCATCGTTAAGAGGCTGGGAACTCGCGTCAAGATAGATGCGGTCATTGCACCTAAACCGTCGAAGGATGCAGTGTTTTAATTTCGATTTGAAGTCTAAGTTTAACTGGAATGAGAGGAGTTCACCACTGTTTAAATTCGGTCCTTCAGGGACAAAACGTATATTCTGCAAACAACGGACCAGGCGAAAACGCAGGCAGAGGGCGTGTGAAACATATCGGGATATACAGCTACTTGGATCCATAATTAACCACCTTTGGGAATGCATGACATTTTACCTTTGATTCAGTCATACAAACTCACTCCAATGCGTCCACTGTTGGCCAATCAGCGTTCATGCGAGAAACGTGTGAACGTCCCAATCAGCTGCCGCCTTTCCTTGCGGCAGTCTAACGGCACCCTTGCTGGGCTGGCACCGCACGTTCGTTCGAGTGTATACTCACATCACATCCTCCCTTTTTCCATGTTCTTGCTGCTGTACTTTGCTAAATAGTCCATCCACTTTACCACTCCGCGTCCTCTTTGTTGCATCTGCCGATGTCGCCTCATTGCCGCACGCAGTAAAACGCTCTTTCCCTGATTCACGCTGTCGCCTCGGACATCTCCTCAGCTGTACTCGGTTTCTTCTCAACATTTACTTCGTATGACCTTTCGCCGACTTTCGCAGCCACGACTCCTTTTCTCCACCGCTCCTGTCCATCGGGAATTGGTTCAACCCCTACTTCTTCCCCCACTGTCAGCTCAGGTAATTCCCGTGCGCCGTTGTCGTAGTACCGTTTCTGAGTAGCCATTCGCCTTTTCAAACTGTTCTGCACTTTCTCCAGTTGCGGCATGACAGGGCGCAGAAGTGTTGCGGATGCAGGCATCACAGTTCTGGTCCTTCGACTGTATGGGCGCTGCACTGGGCTCAGGCCGATATCCGTTGAAGGAGTGTTGCGACTCTCCAGTAGCATGAGTTATGGGTCCTCCCGAGTATCTCTAGCCTTCGCTAATAGTCGCTTGGCTTGCTTCACGGCCGACTCTGCCTTCCCATTTGATTGACTGTGATAGGGACTGGTTTGCCGGTGTGCGAATTCCCATTTGGTTGCGAAAGCCTGGAATGCTCTGCTGCTGAACTGGGGACGGTTGTCCGAGACTAGCTCCTCCGGTATCCCGTGCCGTGCGAATTGACATCTGAGTTTGTTGATTACTGTCTCCGTGGTCGCGGTGGTGAGTAAATCGATTTCAAAGTAAGCACTATAGTAGTCCACCGTGAGTAAGTAATCCTTTCCGTTGTCCCGGAATAGATCCACTGCTACCTTTTGCCACGGTCGGTCCGGAACGTCATGCAGCATCATCGGTTCCTTCGTTTGCCGAATGTCGTGTGAACGGCACGCCTCACAGTTAGACACATGATCCTTGATCTGACCTGTCATTCCTGGCCAGAACATCAGTTCCCTAGCACGATTAATGGTGTGATTTGCACCCAGGTGAGCGCGATGGACATGCTCCAGCATCTCCTTTCGGAGAGAAGAAGGGATTAGGATTCGACTTCCCTTGAACAACAGACCGTCACAGACAGTGAGTTCGTCCCGAAAATTGAAGTAGGGTGTTAATTCCTTCGGGAGCTGCTTCTTTGTTTCTGGCCACCCATTGAGGATAACATCTCGCAAAGCTGCAAAAGTTTGGTCTTCCTCCGTGAAACGCCTTATGTCTTTCAAACGGTTTTCTGTCACTGCCAGATGCTGCACCATGCTAACTGTCTCGATCTCTTCTAGATGATGTTCGGCCACTGGCGGATGTGCTCTCGACAGGGTGTCCGCGATGAACATCTGGGTGCCAGGTGTGTACACAATGTCAATGTCATACTTTTGGAGCCGGATAAGCATACGCTGCGGACGGCGAGGAACGTTATTCAGTGGTTTAGTGGCTATCGACACCAGCGGCTTATGATCAGTGTACATGGTTATCTTTCTTCCAAAAGTATAATCATTGAAACGCTCCATGGCATAGACCACTGCCAGCATCTCTTTCTCGATCTGTGCGTATCGCTTCTCGGCCTCTGTGAGTGCTCGACTGCGGAAAGCCAAAGGTCTTCCGTTCTGCAACAGAACAGCACCTATTCCACTCTGGCTACTATCACACTGTACCTCCAATGGTTGTGCTGGATCGCAATATCCGAGTACGGGCGCATTACTGATAAGGTTCTTAATGGTTGCGAAAGCCAAATCCTGTTCCTTCCCCCAGCTCCAATTTACTCCTTTGTGAGTTAACTGACTAATCGGAGTCATGACATCAGCGAGTCCTGGTAGAAAACGGCTTAAATAATTCACCATACCGTTTAGGCGATGGACTGCTTTCACATCGTTAGGGGACGGCATCACTTGTATCGCCTTAATCTTCCCTGGGTCAACCCTGATTCCGTCGGATGTTAACATATGCCCATGGAAAATCACCTCCTGTTTCCGCAGCTCTACTTTCTCGCGTTTTAGCTTGATGTTCTTTTGCACGCAACGCCTCAGGAACCGGTGCAGCTTAGTGTCATGCTCTTCTTCGGTAGAACCGTAAATCAGAACGTCATCTGCCACACAGGTTACGCCATCTAAATCATCTATTGCTTGCTTCAAACGGTTTTGGAAAATTTCGCTAGACACCTTCAGGCCAAACGGTAATCGTAGCCACCGATAACGTCCGAACGGTGTAGCAAAGGCGGTGAGGAAACTGGATTCGTCGTCTAGAACAACGTGCCAGAATGCGGAAGAAAGGTCTACTTTCGTGAAAAACTTAGCTTTTGTCAAACGTGGTAAAACATCTTCTAACGTCGGTAGCGCATACTATTCTCTACGCAGGGCCTCATTCAGTGGCTTCGGGTCTACAGATACGCGTAGTTCGCCATTTTTCTTCGTAATGATTGCGACCTGGCTAACCCAGTCTGTTGGCTCATCAACCTTTGCAATCACCCCTTGCATAACCAGCTAGTTCAATTCCGCGGAGAATCGGTCACGTAGAGCAAATGGGACTCTCCTAGCAGGTAACGCAATCGGGCGTGCCAAAGGATCTAACGACAAGTGAGCGGTACCCTCGAATTCCCCTAAACCCGGGCTAAACACAGACGGATACAGGTCACTAACATCGACTTCACTCTGACAAGCGTACACAAAACGATCATGGTTAAAAATGACAAAGCCAAGAGATAAAATCGAATAAATGCCGAGAATCGGCGTAAGATCCTCATCCACGATCACGAACTGCAGACGATGCGAAACACCGTCTCTCGGATTGACCACTTCAATTGTCGCTGAGCCCTTTGGCTTGAGTCTGGAACCATTCCACATGCGCAAATAATCTTGATCCGATTGAATTTGCACGCCGCGGCAGTGCTGTCTGGGCAAAATATTGATCGTCGCGCCTGTGTCTAACTGGAATCGCACAGACCGTCCCTCGATCAGAAGACTTGCATAGACACACTTCTGCGACGCTTTCCGAGACACGTTACCAATCGATTGTTCGGTGTCTTCTGTTGATTTGTCTGGAACGAGTGCACTGACATCTGTCGACTGACAGCAGCGGGCGAAGTGATTGCGCTTCCCACATTTGACACAAATGCGGCCCCACGCCGGACACTGTTCGCGATTCCTCGGATATCGTGTTGCACAGAAGTTGCAGGGCTCCTGTCGCGTGGTCGTGGCCCTCGCAGTTTTGCTCCTGGAAACGGCGCACAACTCTGAATCACCTGTGATAGTCAGCTGCTGGAACTGATAGGCAGTGGAGGACTCACTGTTACAGATGTCGATACATTGCTACAGAGATAGGTTGCGCTTTCGTGATAGTCGCTTCGTCAAACCTACGTCATTGATCCCAAGAACAATGCGGTCCCTTATGAGACTGTCCGCCATGCATTTACAGAAACTGCAGGATCGGGCCAAAATCTTTAGCTCAGTGACGTACGTGTCAACGGATTCACCTGGCCGCCTGTTCCGCGAAAAGAAGAGGTAGCGTTGAAGTGTCTCGTTTGTTTGGCCTTCGCAGTATTCACTGAACTTCTCAAGAACTGTCTCCAGATTGTTGGCATCGTCGCTCTTGTCGCAACACAATGTCTCTAGCACGCGGCGCGCATCATCTCCTGCTGCTTGTCGAAACATGGCCAAGCGGTACGCCATCGGTTTTTTGTCCAGACGCGATAAAGTGCAGAAATCCATCCATTTGCTCTTCCACAAACGCCAGTTGCTTGCCAAACTGCGTACATCCATGTTCAGCGGGGCAGGCATTTGAATAGCCGGTGCAGCTCCAATCATCGTCTGGGTGGTACTAATGTTCTTCTCCTTCCCTGACACCATGTTAAATGTCGGTCCTTCAGGGACAAAACGTATATTCTGCAAACAACGGACCAGGCGAAAACGCAGGCAGAGGGCGTGTGAAACATATCGGGATATACAGCTACTTGGAT